TACGATCCCACACATCTTACCCGGGAATCAGTACGATCCCACACATCTTACCCGGGACTGAATCAGTACGATCCCACACATCTTACCCGGGACTGAATCAGTACGATCCCACACATCTTACCCGGGACTGAATCAGTACGATCCCACACATCTTTGCCCGGGGACTGAATCAGTACGATCCCACACATCTTACCCGGGGACTGAATCAGTACGATCCCACACATCTTACCTGGGACTGAATCAGTACGATCCCACACATCTTGCAGGGACTGAATCAGTACGATCCCACACATGAATCAGTACAATCCCACACATCTTGCCCAGGGCTAACACTCTTTTCATGACTTGGGGAATGGAAGCCAACAGACAACATGGTGCCCCTACTATCTGTGAAGCTACGCTGGAATGCAGCAGCCCCTTGGACAGAAGTGACGTCACGGTGGGGGAATGGCAGAGTGTGGCCAGGTGTTTCGGAGCATGTGCACTCCTTTGTCACCGTGATGTCACTTACGCCCGGTGGACTGCTGCATTCCAGTGTGATTTCTGAGATAATAGGGAGACCAGCCAGGCGCCAGCACCAAGTCTGCTGCACCGATACCACCAGCGGAGATAGATTAGAGGTATATCCATAGGGTGGTACTATGGATAAAAACTCATACATTGTACCACATCCTGACTATCGAGAATGTAACAGAGCTGAATGGACTTTATAGGCACTTAGACATCATTTTTGTATAAAAGCCCCATACTCTTTATTGATAAATCACATAGTTACAATTAACAATGAAGTACCACAGTTAACAACAACAACAGAAAAATTGCACCTCAATGCTGAGATCCTACCGCTCCTAAATGACCATATAACCTAACTGGTACCAAAAATGGATCACCGATGGTTGGGATGATCTTGTAATTGATTGAACGTGGGTGTATTGTCATAGTTAACAGCTAGTACAAGCTCAGCTGAATCTGGGCTCTACATGTTTCGAGACTCTCAGTCGCTTCTTCAGGAGCTATGGAAAGGTGCATCTACAATAAAACAAAACCTGTTTATTTATTTATTTCAGGTACTTATATAGCACCGTCAATTTACGCAGTGCTTTACATAAATATTGTACATTCACATCAGTCCCTAACCCTCAAGGGGTGTACAATCTAAGGTCCCTAACTCACATTCATACATACACATACCAGGGCCAATTTAGACAGGAGCCAATTAACCTACCAGCATGTCTTTGGAGTGTGGGAGGAAACCGGAGTACCTGGAGAAAACCCACGCAGACACAGGGAGAACATGCAAACTCCAGGCAGGAGGTGCCGTGGCTGGGATTCGAACCAACGACCCATTTACTGCCAGGCGGAAGTGCTAATCATTTAGCCTCTCCTCACCTCACCTCACCCCCTCAGTCTCCGCCCGTATCGCCCACCTACTGAATGACATATCAGACTGGATGTCGCTCCATTTCCTCAAATTGAACCTTTCCAAAACTGAGCTCCTAATTTTCCCCCCAGCCCGCGCCCCCCCCCCCCCCCCATCCTCTCCATCACGACCAACAACGCCACCATCAGTCCCACCCACAAGCCAAAGTCCTAGGTGTCACTCTAGACTCAAACCTGTCCTTCCAACCCCAAGTCCAATCGCTGGCAAACTCATGCAGGCTCCACCTCTGCAGCATCTCCAAAATACGTTCCTAACTCCAGACACTACTAAACAACTCGTTCACTCCCTTATTATCTCACGCCTGGACTACTGCAACTCCCTCCTCACCGGCCTACCCCAACACAGACTATCCCCGTTTCAGTCTATCCTGGACTCAGCGGCCAGACTCATCCACCTTACTAACCGCTCCGTATCCGCCACCCCCCTTTGCCAATCCCTCCACTGGCTTCCGATTGCCCAACGCATTAAATTCAAACTACTAACACAGACATACAAAGCCATTCATGATGCTGCCCCAAACTACCTCACTGACCTGATACCCAAATACCACCCAACCCGTACTCTTCGCTCCTCACAAGACCTCCTACTTTCTAGCTCCCTGGTCTCCACCTCCCATGCCCGACTGCAGGACTTCGCCAGGACTTCCCCCATTGTCTGGAACTCTCTACCCCAATCCATCAGACTGTCACCTTCCCTCCTCACCTTTAGGCGCACCCTGAAAACCCATCTCTTCAGGGAAGCCTACCCCGCCCTCACCTAATTGCTGATCTACACTCCTCCTACTACTCCATCCCCCACAGCCACTTCCTCCTGTACCACTATCCCCTCCCTCCTAGATTGTAAGCTCGAAAGAGCAGGGCCCTCGAACCCCTCGTGTTTTGTCCTGTTACTGTATTGTCTTATGTACTGTCCCCCACTATAATTTACAGTGCTGAGCAAACCTTTTGGCACTATATAAATACTGTATAATAATAATATAATAATATGTAATCCAAAACCACAAAATCAAAAAGAAAAAGAATTTAAACTTCTCTACATACAAAAACGTAAATTGGACAAATATCCACTTACAATTATTGCCATGAAAACGTATATTTTTTTGTAGTTAGGCATCGGAGGAAACAAATTGTGTCAGATTGGGTATCCAGACATGGAGGCACATCAGGGAAGCAGGGACAACATCATGTAATAACATTACAGTCTGTTGAAAACAGAGCAGGTTTAAAAGATAATATTATGAACCAAAATGTTATTATTTGGCTAAATGTCTATCATACCAATAGTGTATGGGCATTGGTCTTCTGTGTATACCAAGCACATGCAATGTGAGCCTGAATCGAACATCCTAAACAAAAAGGAGGAAAAAAAACAAAAAAATTATATATACTTACTAAGTCGCATGAATTGAAAAATATTGATTGGTCTTCAATCAGACCCTATGTGACATGATGGATTTGATAATTTTGTGAAAAATAGAAGGGAGGAAAAAGAGGGAAGGGAAATAGATAAATGGTACCCTATATATTTCCTCACATCTGTGCTCATTTAGAGAACATCTCCATCATAGAAGTAGCTATAAAAAGATTAAATAAAGGTACCTCAGAGAATATGGATATCTGGTCATCAACAGTGTAGACCCCAATCAGTCATTAGATGCAAACTGTCCAATCCCAGCAGGGCGCAAAGGACGCTAACAAGGCCTGCACACCCTTCGCCTCACGGCGCGGGTAACACTGTAGAAAGAAGACCCAATAATCAATGTCCTTCCCTCGTAGTGTAATCGGCCCCTACGGCACTAGAATTTAGCCCACCCAAAAAAGAGAAGAGGATGTAGGCCTTGGCTATTACCTCCTGGTCCATTACCTGGAATCCCATCAAGACACTAAATCCTCCTGAGATAATCAGGCCATGATTGTGGCTGCATGGATGACGTCACACTACCTGACCCTAAATAGCCTTGGTCCGGGTGCACACTCTGCCTAGCAGCGGCGTGTGACGTCACACGATCCGGCTGGAGAGACCACACACACGTGTGGAGAAACCACGCATGCGTGCTGGGATGGACGGCCTCCCAGAGACCAGTCGCTGGACTGGGAGGACCACACATGTGCAGACAGGCCAGCTGAAGGCTGATTCCCACTACCAAGGAGTATGCAGTCGAGGGTGGGGAAAGGGGGGCATCCCCCAACCCCCTTGGAAAGGCCGCAGTGCATGGCAGATGGGAAACCAAGCGTGCGCAAAAACGTTCATGTACACCTGTCGGCCATGCACTGCGGTCTGGACATGAGACCCACCTCCACCACAACTGTTCTCCCGGATCAATAATCATTTGAACAAATTACAATTTGAAAAGTAACCAGGCATTTGGATGGGTATTCTCCAAAGTATGAAGTATTCTTTTATCCCAATTCCCACCCGTGGGTCCTTGGGCACAACATCCAGAACCAGAAATCTTATCAAATTGTAATTTGTTCAAATGATTATTGATCGGGGGGGAACAGTTGTGGTGGAGGTGGGTCTCATGTCCAGACATGCAGTCGCTAGGGCCGCAGTGCGACATGAACAGTTTTGAGCACGCTTGGTTCCCCCTCTGCCATGCTTTTGGGTCTTGCTTTCTACATTGTTACCAGCTCCGCAAAGCGAAAGGTGTGCAGGCCTTGTTAGCGTCCATTGCGCCCTGCTGGGATTGGAGGGTTTGCATCTAATGACCGATTGGGGTCTGCACTGTTGATGACCAGATATCCATATTCTCTGAGGTACCATTATTTAATCTTTTTATAGCTACTTCTATGACGGAGATGTTCTCTAAATGAGCACAGATGTGAGGGAATATATAGGGTACCATTTATCTATTTCCCTTCCCTCTTTTTCCCCGTCCCATTTTCCTCCCTTCTATTTTTCAGCAAATTATCAAATCCATCATGTCATTTAGGTTGTTGTTAACTGTGGTACTTATTTAGTATCATATTTTAGAAATCATTGTTAATTGTTGTAACTATGTGATTTGTCAATAAAGAATATGGAGATTTTATACAAAAATGATGTCTAAGTGCCTATAAAGTCCATTCAGCTCTATTACATTCTCGACCACCAGCGGGGAGTCAGACACGGGATACGGGTTCCAGTGTTTTTATTATGAAGAGCGAGTCTTTTATACACAGCGGTCAATTGTTTTTATCCAATAAACATGCCGTGTTGCTACACTTAGAAGGCGCTCTCTCCCTCTTTTCTTTTGTTTCACATTTACAGGTTTTTCACCCACACATCCCAAAAATTTAGAAACAAAGCCTGGGAGGAGATGGAGAAGATATTTCTCCCCAAGAGTTTGCAGAATCCTCAGAGACTAAAAATATGGCCTGTTAAAAGTAGAGCACTGGAAACCTCTTCTTAGGAAAACAACGCAACAGCTAGAAAGGTGTTTTGAGGATTGGAACAACCTCCTCATCCCACTCATTCTCAGAATCCTCAGGGGCTGGAAACATGACCCTTTGGGAAAGAAGAGTGATGGGCTCCCAAGATTGTTGGGGGTGGGATGAGAACTTGCACCTTTGCTGAAAGCTCAGCAACTGTCAGCATGATGGTTCCTCTGGTGGACACGTAGGTTGGATTTTTGGTGGAAACTCTTATCGCAGTGCTGACACTTGTAGGGGCGTTCCCCAGTATGCGTCCTGAGGTGGTCCTTCAGGTTGGACTTTTTGCGGAAGTATTTCCCACAGATGGAGCACTGGTAAGGTTTCTCTCCTGTATGAATGCGCTGGTGGCGTGCAAAGCTGGAATTGTCACGGAAGCTCTTCTCACACTCGGCGCACTTGTAGGGGGCGCTCTCCGGTGTGGGTACGCAGGTGAATCTTCAAGTGAGAGCTGCGGATGAAGCTTTTGTCACAGTCCGTACATTTAAAAGGCCGTTCTCCTGTGTGGCTCCGCATATGGACCTGGAAGCTGGAGTTATTGCAGAAGGTCTTGCTGCACACATTGCACATGATGAACGTCTGTCCTCGTTGGTGGAAACTGATAGGGGCGTCTTCCCTGAAACCGTTCACCGGTGACGAGTAGGGATAGATTTCTTCCCGAGGATGGGAGAAAGGGAAGCAACGCTTTACCCCGGTGAAGCTATCCTCACAATCAGGGAAGACACGCAGTACCTCATTCTCTTTGGGCTCAGTCTGTTTGTTCTGGTCAAAGTCATGCAGTGCAGCAACAGGCTTGATTTGACGAGCAATACCCTTCCGCCTCCGGGATCGGTCTCTGTTGGCGAGCTCCTGAGCCTCTCCAATTCTTGGGCTCTTGGACAGCGGTCTCATCCTGGTCTCTTCATCTGAAAAGGAAACAATAAATACATATTAAAAACATGTAATATTGTAGGGGATATAAGTGCAAACCAAGCACAGACTCTATCAATAGGTCAATGGAGCAAAGTAGAGTAAATGATACTAACACAATGGAAGACCTTACCATGTCCCTACTATGCCATCAGGAGGAACATTTCAGGAAGACATGGCTCTACTGGAACCAGTTATGTTAGTTTGCGGCGTACAAAGATCTCCTTGCTTCAGACCTTTCCCAAGCAGCAATCTAGGGAACCCCCTCCATTTTTTCTCTGCCCCTCCCCTTTTTTCCTTTCCTACTTTTTTCCTTAAAGTGGTTGTAAAGGTTCAAGGTTTTTTACCTTCATGCATTCTATACGTCAAGGTAAAAAACCTTCTCTGTTTCCCCCCCCCCCCCCCCCCCAATACTCACCTAAGCCCTCTCTCGATCCAGTGATGTGCACTGGAGTCTCGGCTATCCCGGGACTCCCTCTTCTCACTGGCTGAGACAGCAGCGGGAGCCGTTGGCTCCCACTGCTGTCAATCACAGCTAGTGAGCAAATGAGAATAGACAAGCCACAGCTCCGTGTGTGAATGGACACATGGAGTAGCAGGTGCCCCCATAGCAAGCTGCTTGCTGTGGAGGCACCTGACAGGAGGGTGCGGCCAGGAAAGCCTGCAGGGGACCCAAGAAGAGGAGGTTCCGGGCTGCTCTGTACAAAAACCACTGCACACAGCAGGTAAACATAGACATGTTTGTTATTTATTTATTTATTTTTAATAAGCCTTTAGTTTCGCTTTAAGTGTTTGTTGCTCCTTTGAAAAGTTAAAACATTTTTTTGCGGGGGGCCTTTTTTTGTTCCCCCGCAGGTGAAATTGTCCTCAAACTGGAAAACGGGGCCTTTGTCGTCAGGCAGTCATTTAATATGCACTGTACTTTAACCACTGGAAGACCAAAGCATTTTCTGGCACATTTTGTTTACAAGTTTAAATCAGTATTTTTTGCTAGAAAATTACTTATAACCCCCAAACATTTTATATATATATATATATATATATATGTATATATATATATATGTATATATATGCCCCTTGAGGGTTAGGGACTGATGTAAATGTACAATATATATGTAAAAAGCTGCGTAAATTGACGGCGCTATATAAGTGCCTGTAATAAATAATAAATAAATAATATATACATACATACACATTTTCTATGAATCCCGAACAATTCTTTTGGCAGTTATGGCTGCAATCTTTCTTGGTCTACCTGACCTTGGCTTGGTATCAAGAGGTCCCTGAATTTTCCACTTCTTAATAGGTGATATAACAGTACTGATTGGCATATTCAAGGATATCTTCTTTTTACATCTTTTTATGTCCTTTTCCATCTTTATAAAATTCCATTACCTTGTTACGCAGGACTTTTGACAGTTCTTTTCTGATCCCCATGGCTCAGTATCTAGCCTCGTCAGTGCTTCCATGTAAGAACTAACAAACTCATTGACTATTTATACACTGACACTAATTGCAATTTAAACAGCCACATATGTGGGACATTAACCTCTAATTGGCATTTTAACCCGTGTGTGTCACCTTGTGTGTCTGTACCAAGGCCAAACATTCCAGGGGAGGGAAACTTCTGATCGTGGCCATTTGGGTGATTTCTGTTATCATTATGATTTAAAAAGGAGCCAAAACAACTATGTGATAATAAATGGCTTCATATGATCATCATCCTTCAATAAAAGAGCATTTTTTGGCATGATCAGTCATATTTTCAATATCAATGCCAAAATTTCACAATTTCTGCCAGGGGATGCAAACTTTTGAGCACAACTGTGTGTATGTAAAGCGCTCTGTAAATTGACGGCGTTATATAAGTACCTGTAATAATAAATAAATAAATCTATATACAGCTACATAATGGCAGCAATATTAAAAAGCAAACTACTGATATGTACCAGAATTCCAGACAGGAGTCAGGGGTGGACTGACAACTCATGGGGCCCCCGGGCAATAGGGGATCATGGGGCCCCTCTGTCCTTTCCCAAACTCAAAAAAGCCTATGAAAAAGGTACCAGGGGCATCTCATGGGGCACCTACTGACCCCGGGCCCTCGGGCAGTGCCGAGTTTCCAAATGGTCAGTCTGCCCCTGACACGAGTATTTTATACATAGTTACATTGGTCCAGCATGGACCGATGTAACTATGAGCAGTATATACCATACTTGGCCGATGTTCATGGATGCTTAAAATCACCAAAGCAGACACAGCATTGCTAAAGTTGATCCAGGGAATATCTGATTGCCTCTCAGGGGATCAGGAAGGAATTTTTTTCCCTGCAGGAGCAAATTGGTTCATGCTTTGCTGTTTTTTTTTAACCTTCCTCTGGATCAACGGTGGGTGTAAGATTATAATTTTTTTTTTTATTGGTTGAACTGGATGGACTTTTGTCTTTTTTCAGCCAGACTAACTATGTAACTATGTAAGATACCGCTGCTCTGGTGATCTCTACTTGCTTTTAAAGTGGAGAGCGTGACATCACCGTTCCACCTCGTCCAATCACAGAACACTTTGCATTCATTCAGAAAATGCAAAGAATTCTTCCAAAGGAGCCTATGCCAAGGGTTCGACTTCTTGTGTTCAGTAAGCAGAAGTGCAGCCGTTCGGCGCGGGATCGGAAGCAAGTGGAGATCACTGGAGTAGTGGTGTGATTTCCAGCTTTCAGCGGCATTGGCCAGGTATGGTATGTACATACTGTAGTTATACTGGTCCAAGCTGCACCAATGTAACGATGAATAAAAAATCCATCCCTGGAATGATTCTTTAATTTACACCACATATACCGTATTTTTCGCTCCATAAGACGCACTTTTTTCCCCCCAAAAAAGGGGGGAAAATGTCAGTGCGTCTTATGGAGCGAATATGGAGCGGCCGGTCCGGTATTTCCACCGCGGCCGTGTCAGAATGCCGGGCCGGCCGCTCAGCTCTGCAGTGGGACCTTACCTGTTCCTCTATCCAGCAGCGCGCTGTCTTCCCGGCTTCTGTAGTGTGCGTGACAGCCGGGTGACAAGTGTGCATGCGCAAGAAGCGGTGCTCTTTGTGAATGGTAAGGCGGTACCTGGGACACATGACAGATCCCAGAAGCCACTGGACCAATCACAAAGCGCAGCGCTTCTCGCGCATGCGCACTGGGCATCCGGCTGTCCGCCGCTGGATCGAGGAACAGGTAAGATCAAAGAACAACTCCGCGGAAGTAAGAGCGGGTACCTGGCAAATTCAGGTACCCGCTCCCCCCCCCCTCCCCAAAGGTCAGCAGTCATCTTCTGTACTGTCTGCAGTCTCTGGTCATCTCCTGTACTGTGTCCGCAGTCTCTGGTCATCTCCTGTACTGTGTCCGCAGTCTCTGGTCATCTCCTGTACTGTGTCCGCAGTCTCTGGTCATCCCTGTACTGTGTCCGCAGTCTCTGGTCATCTCCTGTACTGTGTCCGCAGTCTCTGGTCATCTCCTGTACTGTGTCCGCAGTCTCTGGTCATCCCTGTACTGTCCGCAGTCTCTGGTCATCCCTGTACTGTCCGCAGTCTCTGTTCATCTCCTGTACTATGTCCGCAGTCTCTGGTCATCTCCTGTACTGTGTCCGCAGTCTCTGGTCATCCCTGTACTGTCCGCAGTCTCTGTTCATCTCCTGTACTATGTCCGCAGTCTCTGGTCATCTCCTGTACTGTGTCCGCAGTCTCTGGTCATCCCTGTACTGTCCGCAGTCTCTGTTCATCTCCTGTACTATGTCCGCAGTCTCTGGTCATCTCCTGTACTGTGTCCGCAGTCTCTGGTCATCCCTGTACTGTCCGCAGTCTCTGGTCATCTCCTGTACTGTGTCCGCAGTCTCTGGTCATCTCCTGTACTGTGTCCGCAGTCTCTGGTCATCCCTGTACAGTCCGCAGTCTCTGTTCATCTCCTGTACTATGTCCGCAGTCTCTGGTCATCTCCTGTACTGTGTCCGCAGTCTCTGGTCATCCCTGTACTGTCCGCAGTCTCTGGTCATCTCCTGTACTGTGTCCGCAGTCTCTGGTCATCCCCGTGCTGTCCGCAGTCTCTGGTCATCTCCTGTACTGTGTCTGCAGTCTCTGTTCATCTCCTGTACTATGTCCGCAGTCTCTGGTCATCTCCTGTACTGTGTCTGCAGTCTCTGTTCATCTCCTGTACTATGTCCGCAGTCTCTGGTCATCCCCTGCACTGTGTCCGCAGTCTCTGGTCATCCCTGTACTGTGTCCGCAGTCTCTGGTCATCTCCTGTACTGTGTCCGCAGTCTCTGGTCATCCCTGTACTGTCCGCAGTCTCTGGTCATCTCCTGTACTATGTCCGCAGTCTCTGGTCATCTCCTGTACTGTGTCCGCAGTCTCTGGTCATCCCTGTACTGTCCGCAGTCTCTGGTCATCTCCTGTACTGTGTCCGCAGTCTCTGGTCATCCCCGTGCTGTCCGCAGTCTCTGGTCATCTCCTGTACTGTGTCTGCAGTCTCTGGTCATCTCCTGTACTATGTCCGCAGTCTCTGGTCATCTCCTGTACTGTGTCTGCAGTCTCTGTTCATCTCCTGTACTATGTCCGCAGTCTCTGGTCATCTCCTGTACTGTCTGCAGTCTCTGTTCATCTCCTGTACTATGTCTGCAGTCTCT